CTACCAGACAGCAGAAAATAGATTGAGAGGATGTAGAGTTCAACTGCAGTGAAGAAGGACTGCTACTGTTGTGCTCCATGGTCTTATAAACAGCCACAGTTCTGTAAAGGCCAGTACATCTTGGAGTAACATTCTAGCAGATGCGCATCATTTCAGGCAGGATGATTTATATTCTGTGAAGTTAGGTTGAACAAACAGAAGTGCACATGCTTTTTTCAATTTAAGTCACCTCTGTTGGTAAGAGCTTAATTGTAGAAGAGAATTAATTCATTCAATGTTAATGTTAAATGGAAATCAGACTTTTTCCATAAAAAGGAAAAGAGAGGAGTAGATTTTAACACCTTTGTGATTTCTGTGTATATCCTTTATTCACTTTCAAAAAGCTAAGCTCTGTGTTTGCGGATTTAAAACACCTCTAGTCTGTGACAGAAATGAAAGTATTGGTCGCATTGGCCTCACCAGCCCAGCTCTTTGCAATGACTACTACACTTCTCTTAATAAACCGCCGTATTTTCAAGTTTTTAGCACATAACTCACTGTCAGTAGTGAGTCTCTTCTTCATCTCAAATTCAGAGTGTCCCTCTGAGGAGATGCACTAGCCCCTTTAGCATTGCCTGTTGCATATGACCTTTGGGCATGAACACCACCACAACTTAGCCAACATTCTGACCTAGTTTAGGATTTTTTTTTTTTTTTTAAGAAGATGCTAGATTATTTCCTCTCATGTGCAACTGTTTAAATTTGAATCAGTTAATAAGATTGGAATTAAGCCTAATTTGCATGAGAGTTAGTGAAAGAATATGACCCAGACAGCTGACCAGTTTGTTAGCAACATACTGTAACAAAAGCAAAACAGGAAGTGGGGGAAAGCATCAGAATAAAAACAAAAAATCTCCAATGGTACTAAATTGTTTTGATATCAATTAATTTTTAAGGTGCTATAATAGATGAAATGCTGTAGGTAAAAAGATAAAATGCTAAAACTTGTATCAAGGAGAAAGAGTAATAGAGATACTGGGGAAAAAAATATGTGAGACACAAATGGGAGGGCTGTGTATCAAAGGTATGCAAGAATGAGAGAGTTACCTAGAGGATAAATTCTTCTATTGCTGCTTGCAAAAACTTGACATGAAAAATTCTTTGAGAAAATAAAACTTAGCTTAATTCAAAGTATTTACCACTCTGCTGATACTAGCCAAATCACAATGAAAGAAAAGATGGAAAAGAGCACTGCAGTTAGGTTGAAAGCATTTTAGCTTTTCAAATGGTTTCAAATGAAATGAATTTGTACCTTCACCTTGTTGTTTGGTTTTGGGGTTCTTTCTCTTTTTTGTCTGAAGTATGTTTACAGTTGAAGTATTGTGACTGATGAAAGCCAATAATTCGGGATTTTTTTTTTTTCCACAGAGAATTTAGGATTTGAAGTGGTTTATTTCTAAACAGGAATTTGAAATATCTGTTTTGTAAAGCAGTTCTATTCTTATTTTTGTGAGCCTCCCAGTTCACATTAGTAGTCAGCAATTAACAGAAGTATTGTGAAGCTGGCACTGGGTAAGCAAGAGTGGAATAAAAGAAGTGACAATGTCCGTGGGGTAGGTCATATCAAGTTTTCAAGAAAAAAAAAAAATCTTCAAGGATCGAGGCACAACCTTCCTGGGCAGCCTGCTCTACTGGTTGACTGTCCGTATGATGAAATGAAGACTGGCTTTATATCCAGTCTGAACTCGTCTTGTTTCAATTTATAACCATAGTCTCTTTGTCACAGCATGCACCACTTCTTTTAAAAGCCTGTCTCTGCCTTCCCAGTAACTCCTCCCTCGGCACTGGAAGGCTGCTGTTACCATCCCACTAATGCTGCCCCACTCCAGCCTAAACAAGCCCAGTTCCCTCAGCCTCTCCTCACATGGCAAGAGCTGGCCATTTTGTTGGCCCTCCGCCGAGTTCGCTCCAGTTTATCAAAGTATTTCTTGTATTCAGGGGTCCAAAACCAGGCACAGTATTGTAGACATGGCTTAATGAATGCTGAGTAAGGGGGGAAGGGATGTTGAGTGGTTCAGAGCACGTTAAGACACTACAAAAGGCATCAAGAAGTGAATAGAGCGGCATGCTCTGTTTTTTAGAACTGGATTAAGATGGTTTCTTCAAACCTGTAGAAAATAACTGTTCCAACCACTTAGGCAAAAAAGAGTTTGTGTCTCTTAGCTGCACTAAGGAGTGCTATTTGTAGTAAGTAGAGAGCTTTCCTTGCCTTCCTTTTCATCTTAATTCCTACTGCTTTTTTTGTGGATGTTTCAGTGTATTCTGAGCACATTTCCTCAGCAAAGTCACACAAACCAGAAAGATGGAAGTACTACATGCTTCCTCGGCTCTAAAGGGGTAGACTCAAAGAACGCACAGAGTAGCGCTGCCAGGCTGTGCAGAGCTGTTTGCTGGTCAAGCTCAGTGGTCTGCTGAGCATTACCTACAGGGCTTTCAGGAGGCTAGTCAGAGGGTTGTGAATATGCATGGCTCTTCAGCATTGAAGTGAGGCACTGGGATGCTTCTCAAAGTGCAAGTTCTCTGTGTGTATCCAGACAAACAGGTGAATGATCCATTTTGCATGAGTTTGCCCCAGCTGACCTAAACAAGGCTAAAAAAGCTATAAGCTGTAAAGTGCATGTTCTCATGTGTGTGTGCTGAGCCCTTACGTACAAAGCTGTAGAGACATTTTGCAGACCAACAAAGTCTGTTTCTAAGCACCATGTGTTTCTCAGACCAGAGTGCTTTGGTTTTAGTCCGTTCCTAGGCGTTTCAATATAAACCAGAAAAATCTGACATTCTTCATCAGAAGATGCCAAGAGCTTAAATGCCTCGGGAAACTTTCTTCATAAGAGTCCGTTTTCATCTATTTCATAAAAGCATATTCCAGTGCAGTGGCTTGTAATCGGCACTAAGACTTCATGTGTTGAAATTTAAGGAGAAGCATTCAAGTGATGGTTTCAGGACTTCACCAAACTGTCTACACTTGCACTATCTTGTATTCCAGAATGTACCAGAAAAAATAAAGGTTAGTAAGTGCTTTTTCTAGTGTGGACATCTGCATTTTTCTTGGAACCACTGGAACCCAGTTGCTAGAATCTTGAATTGTGGAATTTATGTAATCTTGTCTTTCCAGAAAGCATTTTCTTTGGAAAATGTAACTGCCCTATTGGTCAGTCAGTAGAATAATCAGACTAGCTACCTACACGTTATCATGCTCTTTGTGCATATGACAACTCAAAATGTTTTGGTTTGCTATATTAAAATGCTCTTGCTTTGGTTAAATATGAGGAGGATTGCTCACTCATTTAATAGCACTTAGGACATCCCAAGTGATGCAGTTTAAGGTTGCAAAACAGAAATACTGTGGACCAATTCTCTGAAAAGTGTCAAGTATTAACACTTGTAGTTTTTGTCACGTAAGGTCTCTCACATTCAGGCACATCATTCATATTTTTTTACATAAAATGTCTGACACATGCGGCTGTGATGCATCACATTCTAATGATCAGGTCAGGAAACCTGGCAAGCTGTTTTTCCTTGAATGGGAGGACTGCATAATACTATTTGTGATTGCTGTTTGTTCAATATAGTTTTCAGTCTTCCAATTTATTTACTTTCAATTTTGGTTTCAGTTCATTTAACCTTCAGAAAACATTTCTGTTGTCTTCTGCTTACAAAAGGAAGGCTCTAGCAGCCCCTTGCTGCATTTATCTCTTGCTGTGGAGCTATGATGTCTGCTGTAATAAATGTATCCATTTGAAATAGAAGTGATTAAGCTTTTGTTGAAATGTCTTCTGCAACAAAACATTAGCTTTTGCTTTCAAAGGGCAGATATCGCAGCAGATAGCACTTAACCTGGCGAAGGACAAAGTGTTATGTTTAAACATCACTTTTCTGCTTGTCTCTATGAAGCAGCAAGGATATCTGCATTCAAGCACTTCTATTTCTTAATACATCACAAGTGTCTCCACAGAATTGAAAGTAGCATGATTGTAACTATTGCTTTGTTTTTAAAAACAGCACACCAATCCTACCATTTTGCTGTGATTTATTCCTTTGAACTTTTAAATCTGAAAGATACAACAAAGGAAACAAGAATTGGGCAGGCACTGGTATTTACACAGTAGACTTCTGTCTTCAAAGTCAACGATTCATCTCGCTGTACGTTTCTGAACTAAAACAGAATTTGACCATCTTGCAGTAATCCCTGGTTGTCCAGCTCAGAAATTCCCATGAGATTTGACACTAATATTGCCATCTTGGAAGTATGTTATAATTGTGGCTGTTGCTTTTCAAAGCTGATGTATATCAGTGAAACCCTATAGATACTCATTTTGCTGTCTGGGAAAAAACTCAAGGCCAAAAGATGAAGCATGGGGAAGAGTTTGAGTTTCCTGCCCAAATCAGGTAGACACATAGAACATAGACTACTTGTCCATCTGTGTGTATACAGAGCACAACAGAGGAGGTCCTTCTAGCACTGTAGAGGTCCTGATGCATTGCACAGGACTTTCTAAGTACTAATGTAATAAGTTAATAATGGCAATTGAATCAAATCATTGATAACTCATGAATCTAATGACTAAGTGCTATATATTTTCTTAATTTTAAGGTAGTAGGGATCCCCCAGTAACTGTGCTGATATGTCCCAAGTATGCATCTCTTACATAGTTTTGTATTCTCAAAAGCCAATATAAACATTAAGAAACTAATATTATGTATTAACAAATGTGAAAATACCAAATTGTCTTCTATTTTATCCATGTCTTGTTTTTGAAGAGTGTGTTTTGAGATGCCTCTATTTATCAAATGTATTCTGCAAGTATACCATGAGTATTTATCAACGTTGTTTTAACTTCCATTTTTTTCTCTGAGTGGAATGTGGAAACAATATAATTTAAAAAACATATATGCTATAAAAATGAATCACCTGACAATAACTGTTAATAAATACCTTTTTCTTGCATTCTGTCTTTCAGATTTGTGATAAAGAATGGCATTACTATGTTGTCAATGTTGAGTTTCCTGTTGTTACGTTGTACATGGATGGAACAACATACGAACCTTACCTTGTGACCAATGACTGGCCTATCCACCCTTCACACATAGCCATGCAGCTGACTGTTGGTGCTTGTTGGCAAGGTAATATGACAGCAAATACTACACAGTAGAATTATTAATTCAGATCAAAACCAATCTTATTTGTCTCGCTGATTGCATAGCAAATAAATTACTAAAAGGTTGATGGTATAAAATCAGAAGTAAATCCAGAGTTAATAATGAATCAAGTCCAAGGATAAAATGAATGGGACCTTAACAGGCTTTGCATGTCCACCATCTAAAGAAGTGTTGAATACAGTTTGTGTATTCAGTGTGAAAGATTATTTTCTTTATCTATTGTCTTTACTTCTTCTAATTATTTTCCTTGTTCTCCAGCTTTAAGCAAACTATCTAAATATTACTTTAAAGAGCTCCAGCTATCTCCTTTCAGTCTGCCTCAAATTTCTTTCACAATTCATGATCTAATACTGCACTCTTCACATTGGATGTATATCACCAGTAATGCCACCAATTTAATCAATTCACCCAGTTAGAGACCAGATGTAAAAGTGAGAGTAAAATAAAACTAAAAGTCACAACCCCAGAACCATTCTGGTATATGCTTTTGCTTAAATACTAGCTTTTCCTTTTTACTACCCTTTATAATCATGTTCTTCTCATTCTTTTTTCTGGTCCTTATATCACTGTTTCTTTCTCTGTTCTCTGCTTCACTGTTGAAGCAGTCCTCTTTTTCTGCTCATCTGCTCTTGTAAAGTTGTCTCCGTTACCCTTCAGTGTTGATTTTCTATTTATGCACTGTGTCTTGCTTTCACTTAAGACAAAGTATGAAGTGAAGCAAACTGTATAATTAGGAAGAAATACTTTTACGCAGATTGTGCTTCTTCCCCACTCTTTAACATTGGCTCACTTTCTCCATTACTACCTTGTTTGCCAGATTGATCTCTGCTCATTTACAATATGTTATCTGCAAAATTTGGACATCGTATGCATGTCAGAGCTGTTCAGTATAAATAGTCTTAGAAGCAAATCCAGCTTGTAGATTATGAACACCTTAGGTAAAGATCCAGTCTTTACTTTAATGACAGCATGCAGAATAAAGCCAAACTAATCCTAAAAACAAGATTTGATAAGTTTTGAATATTGATCTGTGGAGATAGGTATTATTATATCTAGCTAATCAGCATGACACTAATCCCATACATTTCTAAAAGCATAAACTGATTCTTGTCTAACTGGTATTTGCATGTGTAGGCTTCCATCTCTATAGGATGATCTTTAGCTGTATTGGAATTTTCCATTGATGTTAAATACATAACAGAATAAATTTCAATTTATTCTAAGGTGTTAATATTCTCAGGGAGCATTCCTTCTTTTTCAGATAAAAATACAGAATCATAGAATTATGGAATGGTTTGGGTTGGAAGGAACCTTAAATATCATCCAGTCCCAACCCCCCTGCCCCGGGCAGGGCCCCCTTCCCCCAGCCCAGGGTGCTCCCAGCCCCGTCCAACCTGGCCTTGAACCCTTCCAGGGAGGGGGCAGCCACAGCTGCTCTGGGCACCCTGGGCCAGCGCCTCACCACCCGCACAGGGAAGGATTTCTTCCTTACATCTAATCTGAATCTATTCTCTCTCAGTTTAAAGCTGTTACCTTCTGAAAAATCAGCATTTCTCAGTAGCTCTGGTAAAGAAATATTATTTTAATTCCTTACTTAATGTTATTTTTCTAAGCTTTTCTGCATAGATCTACATAAATATTTTTGTGATTATTTGTATTACCTCTGCCCTGTAACTTCTTTCATTCTCTAAGAGCAAATTTTAGTTTGTTTGTTTTCTAAATGTCTCAGTATTGGTGGGAATGCACCCCCCTCACCCATCACCTGAAACTCATGCTAGTCATCATGCAGGTGCCAAGTTTTGAGAACTGTGGAGTAGTAACTTCATCGGTGGAGTATGCACTGCATAAGCAAAAGCTCTGCCAGTTTTGCCACAGTGCTGCCTCTGTGGTTTCATCTGCCTCCAAGGCAGCTGAATACAATAAGAGTAATCTTGTTTCCTTTGCATCTTTGTCTCTTTATCTTAAATTGTTAAGAGAAAGAATTAAGGTAAAACTTCTCATATAGGTTCACAATAAATTTAGACCACATAGTATATTTAGTATTTAAGCTGTTAAACAAATAGAAAGTTGCAATTGTTTTGAGACATTTTTGGCTTTGCCTTGAATAATTTGATGGCTTAGTGAATAACCATTCAGGATAAGATTCTTCTTCCTTTTTGGTGCAGCACCTGATTTAAACTAGTGAAATTTTACTATTACTGCTGCCAATATTTACTGCAAGATTATGTTATTGCTATTTTCATAGTGTGAGAATTGGAACTTCTCAAAAGTAAAAAACAAATTTTCCTTCTCATGAAAATATCAAGATTTAGCTAAGTTGGTGTACTAAAGATTGTGATAAATAATTATGTGTCAGGCAAAAAGGTGAACTTTTAATACTTAACGAAACAAAATTTCAAGATACTGCTTTTGGCAAAGCTTATATTTTGATAAGTTTGTTTTGATCACCTCAAACTATTTTAAATGAACAGTATGGAAAGTCACTGTTAATAAGATTCAGCACTCTTGATTTCAGTCTGTTGAATTGTAATTATTCAACATATAAAGCCAATCTATTCCATTCAAAATGCTGAGTTTCAAAATCCATGTATTTCAAGGAAAAGCAGATCTATCAAACAAATAATCTGACTATAAATAGTTTTAGTGAAACTGCTAACTGGGTCTACATGGGATAATAAATTTTGGCCAGTAAGAATAGTCTAAAATTTACATTTTCAAAGCATTAGAAAGCTGCTTTACAACCATCTATGATTTATTTCAGTAAAACTCTGCAGTGATTTTGGTGTCATAAGCCATTCAGGGGAGTCTTTGTTTAGAGGATATGAGGTGTTTCTAGCTCTTGTTTGCTCAGACTATTTCATTCTCTTTTCATCAAAGCACTGGCAGAATAGGAGCACAATCTCTAACCTCTTCCTTCAGAAAGGACAAGATTTTTTTTTTTTCTCTTTTAAACCATTTTATAGTTCTGAGTCCACAGTATCCATTTATCAAAGTCAAATTATTTGAAAAACAATCTCAACTCAGACAACTAAACCAGAAGAAATAACATTCCTTTTTCTTACCACACCAATTCTGATTTGCTCATAGCAAAAATTAAGTCGTTATGACTGTGAAGCACCTTAAGAACTGGTGGGGAGCAGGCAGAGTGTATTTAGAGGGCAAAGCAAAAAATAAAGAACAAAAGGAATTGTAATTTACTTTGTTAGCGCTAATAGGAAAATCTGTTACTGCTATGAGGATTTACTCTTTCATATATGACAATTTTCAGTTCAGGTCTGAAAACTGGGAATTGTTCTGCTGTTTCTCTAGGAATCTGAGAATCCTCCGGGTTATGAGACAAGTGACTCTTTCAGCCCTGGTCTTTCCATCACTTACACTAGTATTTGTCCTGAGGTTAGGTAGCAAGTATCATGCTTGCACCTCCTTCTTGTCTTTCTCAGAGTTATGTCATGCAGGAGTCTCAGGCACAGCAAGAGAATTCGTTTCTTTGAGATTAATATTTCCTATTATTAATATTTCAATTGCAGAGTAACTCTTTTCTGACTTTTATAGCCTTGTTTATAGCATCCATTATGAAAAGTTAGGTTAGTTTTTATTCCTACCTTCAGCTGTTCAAGTGAAATATAAGAGCAGTTTAGGTTCAGTGCTGTTCTCCTGAATCTAACATGAAAACAAACCAAATGTGCAATCTCTCAGGTTTACATGATAAATGTAAACTTTAGCCTATGATGTGCTTGCTGTCCCATTTCCATCAAACCATTTGCCTTTTTTTTTTTTTTTTTTTAACATCAGCATTCCAGCTGTAATGGGCAGATCTCTCCTGCATCTTTACCCTTGCCTTGACAGTGTAAAAAGCATGTCTGATTTGTTTGTTCCTGATTTTATGCAATATTTCTTAAAATAATGTGAGTTGAGTGCTATGACTCTCCTAGAAGGAGAAAAAAATAGCATTTTACTGCAGTCCTGTCTAGGGGGCAAGAGGATATTGGAGGCAGAAGTTAAGGTCTGAGTGTGAGGATGGCAGTCTGGAGACAAATATAAAGTGAATATGGCTGAAAGAGCAGAGCATGAGGCTTTAAAAGTGGTGGAAGAGAACCTTCCTGAGGTCTGTCGGGCACTGGATAAAATTTACTGCAACCCAGGAACCTAAAACTAAGCTGGGGGCGGGGTGTGAGGTGTGGGGTGTGTGCCTTATTTGACTGTGGGAGTTAAAGCATTATCTTTAGGCTAAAGTGTTTGTGTTGGTTCAGTTACACATGACCCAAATGCAGTGGCAGCTGGAGACAGAAACTTCTTAACCTGCTGCAGCCTATCTCCAGCACTGTCAGTCCCCATGCATGGCAAATCCCAATTTACCTCTTTGCTGTGATTTCAGTGACACTAGGCCTGGAAAAGGCTGGTACTGACTACAAAGCTAAGCAAACTGGACTCTTAGTGAACTAACAAGGGTGGAAATGGAGTTTGGAGTGCTAATAAAACTGTTCCTGAATTACCCTGGTAAATTTTGACAGCTTTCCCTGCAGATACTTAGGGTTACGGATATAACTTAATTTTAACTTCTTCAAAAGGCCTTTTTTGTTCACATCAGCAGTCTCACAAATGATTGTCAAGAGTGTGATTTTGATGGAGGTGGGGTTATTTAGGTCCAAAGTGCTGTTCTGTTTCTAATGATGAAAGAAATTTTGAGGCAAAATTACTCTTTCTCAGGTATATCTAAAGGGCAAAATTGACGAGCTTGTATGTGTACTTCCCAGAACAAAAGAGACACCAAAGAGAACATGTGGGAAGTCTGACCCTGTCACTGTCTCTCAAGGCTCAACTTCAGTTCTCATTTCTACTCTCTTCTATATCAATAAAAATAATCTAGCTTTGCCCTTCCAGCTAAAGATTCTCGAGAGCTTTCTAAACAATAAAGAGGCAACACAGTTCTGCAGCAAGGAAGTAGAATTACTCTCACTCTATGA